TTTATAGTTGTCCAAATGAAGTTCTTAGCAATGCATATTACTGATCAAAAATTACGTTTTGATATATTTAGAGTTGGAAATTTGCAAAATATATTCATGGAACATGATCTTTACTTAATATCCTAATGATTTTTGGCATAAAAGAAAAATCGATAATTTTGACCCATACAATGTATTGTTGGCTATTGCTACAAATATACCTTTGCAACTTAAGACTGCTTTTGTGGTCCAGGGTATATATATATAAATATATATATTAGTGCTGGGCAACAATTAACTTTTCCACGACATTCTAATTTATTGAGATGCACCTGTATATATATATATATATATATATATATATATATACACACATCACAGGAATAAATTACATTTTCATAATACAATATATTGACCAATATTAAAAATGTCAACTATATTAAAACAGTTATTTTAACAGTTATTCTAAATTGTAATATTTCCCAGTATTACTGCTTTCACTGTATTTTTGATCACATAAATACAGCCTTGGTATGCACACAAGATTTCTTTCAGAAACAGTAAAAAAATCTTACCGACCCCAAACTTTTGAACGACACTGATCATCATCATCATCATTATTATTATTACCCAGCACATGTTCAAACAAACTGAAAGGCACAAATGTTACATTACAAATGTGTGTCTCTACTTTCTATTACAGAAAGTTCAAGTTGTTATAACTGTTCTGGACTATGACAAGATTGGCAAGAACGATGCCATCGGCAAAGTGTTTGTGGGTTTGAACAGCACAGGCACCGAGATCCGTCATTGGTCAGATATGCTGGCCAACCCGAGGAGACCCATCGCTCAGTGGCACGTGCTCAAGCCGGAGGAGGAAGTGGATGCCCTGCTAGCAGCTCAGAAAAAATAGAGCAGCCCGTGCCGCTCTTCATGCACCCTCACTCCTAATTTCATGTCTAAGAAAACCGCCTTCTTGGACCACCCCCTTGAGATGTTGTGTTGTTACGTCGGTTTTGACCCCTCGCCCCCTTCCTTCCTTCCTTCCGTCGATAAACTTTCTCTGTCCTTTGTTGTTTCACCTCCATCCACGACCTTAAAAGTCCCCGACCAAATGCCCCCTTCTTTTAAGCAATATGATCTGTATAGATAGCGCATGACTGGAGGAATTTATTGTACCACAGGTGTATATATCAGTATGCAGACGAAAATGATTTATAGTTTATGTGTTTGTATGTTGTTACCCGTTTCCTAATCTGTGTATATCTTGATGTTTTTAATAAGATGTTCTATTTTAAATTATGTAAATGCTGACATAGAAGAGCCAATATTATATATAACAGGATTTAAGAATGTTACCTTATTGCATTCCACTAAAATATACGATATATCTCTATATAAATATTTAAAGAATTCCAACTTGCAAGACGCTAGTGGAGGTACACTCACTTCGTAAAGGACGGTTTGCGCTTCATGTTTACTTTTTAAAAAAAAAGCATACAGATGTACCGTACACGATAAACACAAACACACACTGAACACGAAGGCCATTAACTAATATGGTTTCATGGTATAAATGTAATATGCTGCTGACAATTATACAAGCACATGATTTCGTAAGAACTTTTTGTACTAATTTATCAAACTGAGGACCTGTACGCTTCGCTTAAACCGCTTTAATCGAAGGAATTCTTCTTACTTGACAAAAACCAATCAGCCTTTTCTTTTGATTTCTCATACGGTGATGCTGTTAACTTTTAGTAAAACGGGTCCCCGGTTTGCTTCTTTCTTGTTTTCTGTCCTTTGATTCCCGAAGCTTCCTGAATCCGATCTGGCACCTTTGCGAAACTGTAAATTGACAAGCTGTAGCCATCGTGTCCTTGAAGCTTGAATTTGTGAATTGCTTCCTTTTCTCGTCCTTGGACTCGTTTCGTTGAGGAATTTATGGTTCAGCCTCCAAAAAAAATGAAACCAGGAGTTTTGACTCTAGCTTTAAGACAACAATTTTTTAGATTAAGTCAACGTCTGAATATTTTTGGTAACTGCATGATTTTTTTTTACGATCTTTGCTAAAGGCCGGGTAACGGGGGGATTTAATTACACCGGGGCGTCTTTCAAGAGACTCCCTTGCCTTCAATCAAAAGTAATCAAACGTCGTGGGATGGAAACTTTTGAAGCGCTCCGTCCCGACGACGAGATGATGAGGAGTAGGAGGAGGAAGAAGAGAGGCGAGCTTTTAAACACTGCCATTGTTTTCAGGGAGGTACGAGGAGCACGCGACTCCTCCCTCCACGCACACTTCACTCAGATAGTGGTTGTAGCTTCGGTTCATTGGGGAACAATGTATTTTGTCCGCGACGGTGCCCTAAACAGCAGTTTTTGCTTTCTGTTGCCTTTTCACAGTGACAATAGAGTTAGCCATGCTTAACTGCCAATCCCTCCCCCGTGGCTACTGTTTTGCACTGTTGCAGTTGCTTGTCGAGAAAAGTCCGTTCGTTCAATAGCGCAAGAAAGCGAACCGGCCCCCGACCGGTTTGGACGCCAAGAGCATTAGCGAATCTTTAACAATAACCGTAAAAGTTAATGGTCTGTACAGGTGATAACATTCTAATGTCCTTTACTACGGGTCTAACAAGAGGGCGAGTAGACGTTTAGTCCATTAAAACCATGAGTTATCTTGGAGGAACCTCTCGCGTACACTAGATGCTAGCTTCAGGAGGAGTTTCTAAATGTTTTCAATGTTACTGTGTAGGTGATAGCACTGTTACTTATAAATAAAAGGAGAAAAAAAAGCTATTCGTCATTCCATAGGAGTCTCTTGGGACTGAGTTGTGTATCACTGTGACTGCGGTGTGTGCTTAGCTTGTTCGTTTTCAGTAGGTAGCGGCCATCTTGAACTATAGTGACGTTGTGCTGCCATCCCCTTATCACACCACACGAGAGTACGAAAGAGAGAGCGACGGTTTCCGATAACAGTTACGGAGCGCGCGCGATTCACACAGCATTTTGTTGAGCACTGTGCAATACTTGTATGTTCATTCCCTAGTGTTTAAACGGGCGGCATCTCTCAGTAGGGGCAAAAAAGAGAGAGCGAAAAAAACCGCAACCCTATACAGCGAGACGATGTATCCATCGACCGTAGTCTGGTTAGGTCACAGCACACGTGTGTAGTTCGGAGCTCAACATCTGTAAACTTGTTAAGGATTCCTCCGTTTTTCCCGTTGAGTTTTCCTGCACACAGATTTAACCATCCAAACATTCGGGTAAACGAATATATATATATAGATTAACAGTTGCAAATAAACATTCATTCGAAATTTTGAAAAGTAATCAAATGTAATCAGTTACATTACTTTAATAAATTAAAAAAGTTACACTACTATTACATTTTAAGTAGGGTAACTTGTAATCTGTAACCTATTACATTTCCAAAGTAACCTTCCCAACACTGTATATATATATATACATACAGTTCAGTCTATCTATCTATCTATCTATCTATCTATCTCTCTCTCTCTCTCTCTATATATATATATATATGAAAACCCTTCCCTTTCAGAATAGGTGTATATATATTTTTATATTTGTCCTGATATAATTTCCTCATTATTGAGATCACCTGGATATAAGAGAATTGTATCAATCTTGTTATGGAAACTATCTGTTGTACTATTAATATGATTGGCTGTACCATTTTGTTATCGCTGTTATGATTACACTCATGACTATTACCTGATTATCGTTCCTTTAGTGCCCTATTGAAGACCATTTTATATTTATTATGGAACTCAGAATGTACAGTATGGACTGTGTTTTGTTTCTACTTTTTATCGTGGGACCAAGTATAGTTGGTACTTTCATTTCAATGTTGCAATAAATATTGATTCATGTGTTTTATTCATAGCCGAATATGATTTCTTACCCTGTCGGAGAGAGCGAACCTAGAGAAGAACTCCAAAACGTGTAATCGCAACTATAGGTACAATTATTACTCCTACGTTACCTGACTTACTTGTGTACTCTCGTTTATATAAGTATTTATGATATCTTAATACAAGAAGGCTTGTTTATAAAACAAGGATAAAAATGCAGTTTTAGAGTCACAAACTGACACACTCGTTTCGGACAGCAAAGGGGTGTTGTTGTACTATCAGGTGTCTGCACTATGGGTGTAGAACTGGAAGTGCATTGCTCATTGCACCTCAGAGGTTTGTAAAGTAGTCTGAAAAGCCATTTCTAGCCCTGCAAAGCAACGCTATCTTTTACTGAAGCCTACCAAAGCACGCAAACAGCTCCGACAACCACACCCGACAACTTGAAAAAGAGAAACAAAAAAAGCCCGATCGCTCAGCACAGTATACGCATACAACCTTCTGATACTCTACGACGACAAAGCCACCTTTCAAGAAAAAGCTGTGTAAAGAATTAGAATCTGATGCTGTAGGGAGATCCTAGTTGCCTTTGTGTATATCAGCTGCCTGCTTGAGTATTTTTGTGTGTGGATCTTTTCTCTGTAATCTTGTAGAACTGTTCGGGGTGTTTTTCCTGCCATACTGCTCGCCCAAGCGGCGAGCCGACAGTTATATTGCTGTGTATACCTTCATTTTTGATGAGGTGTTTTACAATTTCGTTTCACTTTGTGTAGTGATTCACTCTGTGGAGTTTCTGACTGTTGTTATATAACTTCATATACACAAATGTTCAATAAAAATGTTTTATTTCCTGTTCATACAGAATTTTCTCAAGAGCCTTTTTTGTCTTAAATTACCTTCATTTTGCTTTTGAATCTTCAAACCGTATGAAATGAGTAACAATGTTCCATAGTTTCTATCAGAATACCGTAGTAACATTTTATTGTTCGTAGTACAATAAAATGCGGCATGAATGAACAAATAAATGAAATAAAGTCAAATAACAAAATGATTCTTACATTTACTTCCAAGAAGAGCCCATATTTAATAATGAATAAATTCAGGGTTCTCGCAGTCATGAAAAAAATTAATACATTTTATATTGGCCTTTTCATGAACATTGAATTTTTAGCTCTAAAATAGTGACTTAATCAACTAGAAATTGCTCTAAGTGGAATTTCTGTCAAATTAATTATTTTAAAAAAATCCTTATCATGCAGTCATGAATTTCACTGAAATTGAATTGTAGAAACTGTGGTTGCCAATGTATTTTATTATCTTTTTTTTTTGTGAAGAAATGCCCCAGCTGTGTCTACAACTGAGAAATAATAAATGTTGTTAGACATAACAGATGATATATATATATATATATAGTCACATCGATAAACGCCCATGACCTTCTCAGCAAGGTCAGCTTTTGGAGTTCTGGTGGTCAGATTTTCACAGGCTGGAAAAGGAGATCTGAATTCACATTATAAATGTTGAAATAGTAAGCCAAGCGTAATAGCATTTTCACTGGATTTTGCATTTTGATAATGGGTTATGGTGAGACACAAAAGATGATATATATATATATATATATATATATACAGTGGTGGCCAAAATTATTAGAACACTTGGCATATTTCAGGTTTCAGTTGTTTTTGTAAAATTGGCCATTACAATACCCATAAAACTAAGGAAATATCTATGTGTAGGCTATATTTTTTTTTTATATATATATCTCCTGCAGAAATAGTAAGCCAAGACTTGTAGCATTTTCTCTGGATTTTCCATTTGATAATGGGTCATAAATGTCACTAATTGATTTATATATGGATTACAACAGTGAACTATGAAAATGTCTGAATCTCAAGAGGTCAAGTGTGAAATATCAAAGGCGAAACAACATTTCTGTGTCTTTAGTTCAATATCTTCCATTTCAGGCTTACTGAGTGTGAAGCCCACATAGATATCCTCTGAGCGGATTGGCACTCGGGAGCACACGCACGGAAGTGCTGATAATGAAATATGGGCTCCTTCAAGAACAAGATAAGAGCGGGGATGCGCGGGGGTCTCGGGGCTATCAGCTCCACAGGATCAAATGCATTTCGGTATACATGACTTTGACCATCTCGCACCATTACGTACATATTACTCAGCAGTCGGCCGCTTAATCTCTGAGTAGGTCTTCAAGGTCTGCTTAAGAGCAATGAATACGAGATGAGGCTGGTGTCTGTGCACCTTCTCACTATCACACTCAAGCATGAGCGCTAAATTTGGTCATGATCTAAAGTTACAAATCTTTCCAGTGAAAAACCTCATGTTACTTTTCTGTCGCTAAGCAGAGATACAATCCTGATGCGGTTACGAAAATATCATAGATTTTATAAGTAAACTTCATCTGTTCAATTCATTGCAATTTCTGCAATAACAGATGTGGCATGATTGTTATGCAGTCCTTTAAACATTAATAATATGTCATGACAATGACATCTCTGGTGATCCTGATTTAAGGAAGATGGTCTATAATTTAAAAAAATTAACTAATCATTGTTCATTTCAATTGCAGTTGCTTGGCAGGTTCCGCCTGGCTGGAACTGTT